AGCCTGGTGAGGAGCCCACCCACCCTTTTCAGATTGGTGATAATGTACTAATCAAATCGCTTGAAAAAGATTCTTTGTCTCCCAGGTGGAAAGGTCCTTTCCAGGTATTAATAGTGACCAGAACAGCCCTGAGAGTACAAGGTAGAGCGGAGTGGATTCACGCTTCAAGATGTCGTCTCTCTCCTCTACCGGATGCTGGCGTGTGAAGGCAGTCACCATCATCGTCATTCTGGGTTTACTGTACCTGGCCAAGAACGCCCTGCTAGATGAAGCTGTGACAATCCCAACGACAGGTGGCGAGGGACCTCGCCCATCTGAGGGAGAAAATAAGGTGCTCTTATCTAAGAGCGCAGACGACTTGACCACTCAGGGTCCAGACCCTGAGGGCAAAACAACACCAACGGGCAAAGAAGTGCCTAGCGACAAGGACAGGTTGTATCCAAACACCACACAGACACTCAGTATGGTGCAAGAGACACAAAGAGAGAGAAAAGGAGGGAGAATAAGGAGGATTGTCTCCCTCCCTGATCATAAGTCAGAGACTATTGCCGTTAACTGCCCAAGTTCAATATGTGACTCATCTAACTGTATTATTGTGTTTCCTGTGTTCTCAGTTTACTCAACATGGGAGTTATATCCAGAAAACCAGTACTCTTGGTTCAGGGTCGCACCAGAGGGGGTAAGGATGGTTCTTAACACCATCGAAGAAATGCCCCCAGAACTGTGGTGTAGCACGATAGAACAGTTCGAGGCACTGATAAGGAAGGAGGTAAAATGTACAGTGCGGAAGCCAGATTACCGCATTCCCAATCTAGGTGATACTGCATGCACAGTTACTGGACCAAATAGCAAAACAAATGTTCCATCTACTCCACTTAAACAATCAGGAGGCGAGGTAGATTCTTCAAAAAAGGCCTTAATTACTCCTTATAAACAAACTAAAACTAATTCTGCAGTAAGTTTAATGTTAGACTATGCACATGAACGTAATGTTAGCAACTGTTGGTTGTGCCAAAATATGCCAGAATCAATGCATTCTCCTATGTTTAGCCCAATTCCTTTCACAAAAGCTGATTACGGTTTAGTAAACTGGAATGACATAGCATCTAGAATTAGCGATGAGGCTGGGGATTGTTACACTCCTTCCTACCCAATAGACTCTGAAAAACCTTTACAGTACAAGGGCTTAGTCTCTCTCATTGTTGATACAGTAAATAAAGATTACCTGCCTGACGGTTTCAAACGTTTGATGTTTTTAAAATTAATATATATGAAGAAATACGTTAACCTAGCTTTTGAATATAGATTCCAGTTAGCTCTAGCTCAGACTAATTGTTCAGCTAACTTTACAAGTCCAACATGTACAATGCAACCACACACACCCGCTTTGTTAGTGGAAGCGTTGGTAACAGTGGTGCCCTGGTTCGGCTCTAGGACAGTGGACTCCGTTGAGGTTAAAATACATGACTGTACGCAGCCAATACCCTTAGGCAAGCCCCCTACACGTGACTGCTCAGTATATGTCCCCCCAATTGTTGTGCATGAATGGAAGAATGTGTCCATCTGTTTCCAGAATGCAGTAGGATCTCACACCTCTCCTGATGTGGGACACAGCGACTGTAATGCCATAGTGAGAGTACATATAGCCAAAATTCCCCTCCCACAGAGAGTTTACTTAGTTTGTGGGGACCGGGCCTATGGATGTGTGCCATATGATGTTTTTTATGGTACCTGTTATCTAGCCTACCTAATCCCTTTAATCCGTAAAGTAGAGGCTACTGAGATTGCAGCAATACTTCCCTCTCTACACAGGAACAGCAGGTCAATTACACAAGGACAACAGATAGCTAGCCTATTCTTGCCTTGGTACGGTATTTATGTTACTCAGCAGGAAATTGTCGCATTGTCTAAAGTGGTGGAACATCATTTAAATGTATCCAACACAGCGATGTTAGCTGAACACAAAGAATTGCAGGAAGTTAGGACAGTAGCACTACAGAATCGTATGGCGCTTGACCTCCTCTTAGCGGCCCAAGGAGGAACATGCAAGGTGATAGGAAGTGAGTGCTGTTCTTTCATATCTGATGCCACACCTGAAGTTATGGACATGGCTCATGATACTGCCAGGGGAATAAAAGAATTGCATGAAACTCATGGGTTTACATTTGGGGAATTAAGTGGAACTTTTGGATCTTGGGGAGCGGGGCTGGTTAAATTTGTTGTTACTGTTTCAGTGTTTATCTTGGTTGTGCTAATCCTAGTGATCTGTTTGATCACTGTGGTTAAATTAGCCATACGAAGGGTTGCCAAGACTGCCCTCCAGGCCCCACAAAGGCTAGTTGGACATTCGACTGTACAGGACACAATATTAATGTACAATGCCGAGCTTCCGGACCCCTGGGTCTCCATCGTGATCTCCGACCCGTGGGTACCTCCATTCAGCGATTGAGATGTTGTTTAAAGTTGATATTCTGAATAAAGAACAGATGTTTTGATAATTGATTACAGTTGATACACTGGATTAAAGGACAAATGTCTGATTTTTCCTTTGCAGGTTGTGATACAAATAAAATGTCTGATTTTCCTTTTCAGATTTTGAACAAGTGTATTTGAATGAAATAAATGTATTACTAAGTGCCTTACTCTTGAATAAAGCGTAATGAAGTAAACGTAAAGTAATGTTAAAGATTGAGGACACTGTAACTTTACAGTTTACAGATTGATCGATTCATCACTGCGAATTTATACCTTAAACTAGGAACCTTAGCTGGATCTCTCATGATTCTGATTTATACCTCAATTGGATTTCTCATAATCCTAAATTATACCTCATTTGATTTCTTATAATCCTAATTGTGTTTTTAATAAGTAATTGCCTTAAAGTAAATCTTTAAGATGTAAGCTGATTTAGAATCTGTGTTTGATGAATGAGATTAACTGAGTGATAAATGATAAAAGATCTTATTTTTGAAACATATATTTTGCTATAATATTTTGTACCCCATGTGTTTATTATTGTACCTTTTGACAAAAATGCCAAGCACTGAAGAGAGATGATTTTTATTATGATTGACTGTGTTCAATCATGGTGATTGAAGTGTTTTTCAATCTTGTTCTATTTTTAATGTAATGAATGTATCTGAGCCCACCCAACTCTGAGGACGCCTATTGATTTTAAGTATTGACTGAAATATTCTTAGACTAATGTTAATTGGTTATCAATAGATTGATAAAAAGAGTGAATCTGTAAGAGAATATTTTCATCTGATCTGTTTATAGAGTCTTTTATGGTTCCTTAGAGTCTGTGATACTGCAAACATCTGCTTGTAGTCAGTCAGAGACTTCTCTGTAGGTTGAGGTCACAGGTCAAACGCGTCTCCTATGTCCGAGGGTTGACCTGGCAGGATCTCTTTGAGACAAGCAGATCATTGTCTTTTATCGGCTAATTGATTATACGCGGGCTTTCTGGAAGCCCGCCTCTCCTCGTGTAGGTTAGATGTTTTGTGTCTTTTGGGTTCAGAGATCGCTGGTGGAGCACTGGGCATGTGTGAAACTTAGATGATCTCCCCGGCCGTATGTAATTAATGTACTGTGATCAATAAACTCTTCAGTGCTTTTGGCTAACAACGGTTCCAGACTCCTTCATTCTACCTCAACATTGCAACAACAGAAGTTTACCTTCACAGCCCTGGTGGATAGAAATTCAGAGGCTACTGACACTGGGGGGTTAGTTAGTCTGTCGACGGTAGCAAACAAGGCACGTGCGTTGTTTTTGGTTTTGGTAATGATGTCAGAGAAGAACGATTGTCGTGCGTTTTTCAATTCCAAATGATAAAGGCCAAGTCTCTCTTTATAGATTTCAAAGTGAACCTGGAGATTTGTTTTTCGCCACCTGCGTTCAGCTTTTCGAGATTTTTTGTCTTCTGTTTTCACGGTCATGGCTTTTCTCCATGGAGATATTTTATTGCCAGACACTTCCTTTACCTTAGTTGGAGCAATGGCATCTATAACATTTTTAATTTTTGTATTAAAATGATCTACTACCTCATTTACTGAGATGTTAGCAGGGGCAAGTGTGGAAGAGAAATTCTGAGTAAACATTTCCCTAGTATTTTCAGTTAAATATCGCTTTGTGGTTACCTCTTTTTGAACATTTTTGTGAACAGAAATATTGCTCTCAAAGAAAACACAGGAATGGTCAGAGAGTGCAACATCAGTCACCACAACCTTAGAGATATTCAGACCCTTTGAGATAATTAAGTCCAGAGTGTGCCCCTTATTGTGCGTGAGCTCCGTCACATGCTGAGTCAGTCCATAGCTATCAAGAACACAAAACAGTTCTTTAGCCCCTCTGTCCTGGGGGTTGTCAACATGGATGTTAAAATCACCAACAATGACTAGACGTCAAAGTCAATACACACTATAGACAGCAGTTCAGTAAAGTCATCAAAAAAGCTTGCACAGTATTTGGGTGGTCTATAGATATTTAGGAACAGAGCTCGAGAGGAGCATTTCAGCTGAATGGCCACATATTCAAAAGAATCAAAGTTTCCATACGATGTCTTCCTTCCCTTTAGTGTCTATTTAATCAAAAATAATTGTATTAAACTTCCGCTACAGCAGCAACAACAAATAAAATCTGATGACAGGCCAATGCCCAAACTGGAGCTGTGTACAGCGAGGAAAAAAGGAGCGAATCGGACGTAAAACGTTAAAGGTCTCCTGATGTATAGTTTGTGAATGAATGCTTATTAGAGTTTTGGCTGGAGAGTGCGTGCGTGCGGACCTGTCGGTTAGATAACAGGCGTGTGTAAGTCCTGCATCTGTATGATACAAATGTGTGTAAAATGATACCGGGTGCTGTAATCACTCATCTGGTTCAGTGGCGCCAGCAGGGGGGGCCATGGCCACCCTGATATATTTGATGGCCCCCCCACCACACACACCGCCTCGGCCTCGCCAGTCACGTATGCGCAGTAGTTTATCTGATATTTAACAACAAATACACAGCCAGCGAGTCGCTTGATTTGAGCTTCCAACGCTCATACTGCAGCCCCTCCCTCTCCCTCTGCTACCATGGTAACACTCTGATACTGGGCGCACCACTCTGATACTCGCTCGCCCCACTCTGATACTCGCGCGTACCACTCTGAGATTCACACAGACAGCAGCAGGTTGCAGCAAAACGTTTCTTTCTACTGACTGGACTGGAGTTAACAAAAATCCACCAGACTTCTAGAAGGTAAGTCATATTTGTTCGTTGCCTGTTAAGCCCCACAACACTTTAGGCTTTAGTGTGTTAGTGTGTTAGCTTTTGGTAGCAAAAAACGGAGATATGCTTAGCTTTAGCTGCTATTCTGATCAAAATGTGTGTTCAATGGCATTCAAACGAGAAAAACGCTGGAAGACCTGGAAAACAGGCTCGGGGCTCAGTAAAGGCTTGCTTGACTTCAGGTATAATTCGTCTGTAAACACACTTAGGCGACTATCCTAGTTAGCGTTAGTTTAGCTTGCTAAGCTAACGTTAGCTGATGTCGGAATGCTGGGCTGGTGTAATGCGTAGGCTACTATTAATCACTGCTGTGTGTAATGTCAATTTGCAGAAAATGAAGAGAAAGTCAACAGACATATCTTCTTATTTTAAGAAGAAGATGAGTAAAGGAGAGACAGAGCTGGCAGGGGAGCAGCAGCATAGGGCTAGTGAGGAGATGGCCATACATGCTAGAAAGTACATGTGGAACTCTGTGTTGTAAAAGTGAAACTAAAACCTAAATACAGTTTTATTAATGTGATTGTGACCTTTTTAATCATTTAAGTCTTCTACACACTTTAGGTCTGCAGCTCCTTCAAAATGAAACGAGAATCTATGCAGTTTTTCCTCTTCTGTGTTCTGAGGTTATGAGCCGACCATTAGTCAAGTTTGTTTTCATAATGTTCTGTATACTAATTTTAAAAAAGGGTAACCAGTTTGTTTATAAAGTATAAATATACATTTTCAAAACAAATGGAATACAAGCTATATGTATTACTCTCACCACAGTGGCCTCATCTAAAAAAAATACAAATATGTCTCGTCACCTATTTTCTGTCTAATACTAAAAGGTGGTGTTTTGTATCATTTATAATGTTTTGAATTTGCTATATATATATAATATATATATATATATAAGGTCAATAATAGATGGTGTTTTTGTGTTCAATCACAGTATGTATTTACCATTTTATACCCCTTGTGTTTTTGGGTCCTGTTGAAATAAAATAGTCATGTTTTAAAACTTGATTTAATAAAGTCATGTCAATCACCTTTGATCCCAGTGTGACACAAACAGCTTTGTTCAGTCTAAAACAATTTATAACCTAGACATAATATAACTGAAGAACATGTTGTGTTGCTGTTGTGTATTGTATGTGTTGAGAATGCTGAACATTTTTGCACCTTACAATAAAGGAACTTATTTAAATTAAGCTGTATTTGTCTTTTTAAAAGGAAAGAACATCTAGCATATATAAAAAACAAAACAATAAATCACCAACACATGTATACATAACACAAAACAAGGTTCTTTTAAATGTTGTTTGAAGTAAAATGTTAACTCTCCGTATTATATTCACTTCAGATGAATAGTATCAGAAAATGTAAAATAAGAAACCAAAGTATATCAGTAGTTGATTCTCTTTGCCATTGTTTTCATCTAGTCTATACTTTTACAACAATTAAATGCTTGGTTTTGGTGGGCCACCCCAAGATTTTCAGTGGCCCCATTTGGCCACCCCTATGAATAATTTCTGGAGGCGCCACTGATCTGGTTACATTATTACATTGACCACCACACCCCTGACCATGGATGTATAATAAGAACTGGATACAGTGTGGGAGGCGGGGCCTCATTCATTCCTATGAGAGTTGCTCATTAGCGCATGATGACAAAATGGCCCAACTTTTGAGAGAGCGAAACGTCACAGATTACCCGGCATGCCTGAGAAGTACCCGTATGTGCACTCATAGCGCATGCGCAACTTTAACCACGCCGCCCAAAAGGCTCGTTCACATTAAGCACGTGAATTTGCGTACACGTAACAGCACCGCGCGTTCATGACAGCATGGTACTGGATTTATATTAACGAGGCGGCAGTTAGCAGCTAGCGGCTAGCTAGTAAATGATGCTAACTTACACTTCAATCGTTATGTACTTTTATATTACGCTGACATCAGGATCTAGTGATATCCAAGCAACAGAGCTTCATTTAGCATGATACTTGTGTGGGTTGTACATGAAACCACTTGGTAATATATACAAATGTATATGTTGAAGCCTGTTATGAACAATTGTGAGTTAAAACTTTATCTAAAAAGTAAAGCTGATGATGGATTACTGTGGTGGAGTTAAAATAACAATATCCTATTTCTTTTTGAAATGTGATGGAGTAAAAGGATAGTAACTGTGATTATTCATGTTAAGTAGCCCACAAGTAACTAAAACGTATAATACTTGAAGGAAAGGTGTAAAATGTTCCCATACATACCAATATCACAGTACAACACCCCTTGTTGTTAAATACCAACCATGTGTATATATATATATATAAATAAATATATAAATATGCCGCTAAAACTGTAATATACCAGGCTGCTAAATCCTCCAAACTGTTGTTGCTGGATGTGTATTTTGTGAAATGTGTATTTTTTTTAAATGATAATTTCTTGTTTTGAATCTTTAATACTTTTATGCATACTCTAAGTAACATTAGGCTGTCTTTGGCTCTTTTCTGCTGTAACAATGTAAATGTATTCTGATCTAATTGATGTTTTTGTCAGTTTGTTTCCCTATATTGCGACACTTATTTGGTTTAAGATTATTTCTCCTTTTTTTACAGACATCCCCAACCATAGTGGAATGCTATTGTAAAGGATTGCATTGCATTGCAGTGCATCAATACCTTCACCCAGCTTTGAGGCCTCCAATGAATGAACATCATCTTGTGGCTGGGAAAAATGTGAACAAATAAATCTCACAAAGAGTGACTTTCTGGTGTAATCATTATAATATCAAAGACAAGCACTTTAAGTAACAATATATAAAATCATTCAGCAGCAGAGGATGGGGTGGAAACAGCATTTCTAACTAAGATGATTACAATATTACAAGTTAAACATCAAGATGAACATACTATTATTAATTTAAAAAGTACATGGGAGACTTAAATATCCTGCAATATACCATTAGCAGAATTGGAACAAATGTGCCAAAACATTTCTAAAATAAACAAACTGAGGGCTTTCTTCCTGAGCCGCTGGGAGTAAAGGTCCTCCATGGATGGCAGCTCCGCCCTGGTGATGTTCTGTGCAGTTTTCACCACCCTTTGGAAAGCCTTACGATTGAGGGCGGTGCAGCTGCCGTACCAGGCCGTGATGCAGCCGTGTCCATGATGGACACTGAGGAACCTGAAGCTGCTGACTCTCTCTACCGTAGTCCCATTGATGGCGATGGGGGCGTGTCCCTCTCTTTGCTGCTTCCTGCAATCCACAATCAGCTCCTTGGTTTTGCTGACGTTGAGATGGAGGTTGTTATCCTGGCACCAAGATGTCAGGTTTTCGACCTCCTCTCTGTACACCGTCTCGTCGTCTGGGTGAGGCTGGGGAAGATGAGTGAGGGAAAGAGAGAAACAAAACAGGGGGACTAAAATGAGTGAGGGAAAGAGAGAAAAAGACAAGGGGACTAAAATGAGTGAGGGAAAGAAAGAAAAAGACAAGGGGACTAAGATGAGTGAGGGAAAGAGAGAAAAAGACAAGGGGACTAAGATGAGTGAGGGAAAGAAAGAAAAAGACAAGGGGACTAAGATGAGTGAGGGAAAGAGAGAAAAAGACAAGGGGACTAAGATGAGTGAGGGAAAGAGAGAAAAAGACAAGGGGACTAAAGTTTAAGAGAGAGGAAGAACACAGAATGTGAGTGAACAATTAAATTAAATTACACATTTAAAACAAATAGTGTGAGTAAGTGAAGACATCCTTACAAGGAGGACTGCCCTGTCAAATTTAAAAGTTATTCTTGTTAAATATACATATCCTGTTGAGGCTATAATCCAAAATGCAGAACCACTTTAGATTGTAGCCTCAAGGGACTGTTTAAGGTTACTTAAAAACATATCATTTCCCAAATTGGTGAAATGAACTCCATCTCTTAGAAATATGCCAGGGCAGTCAAACTTAATGCAAGGATGCCTTACACTCTACCCAAACCACTAACACATTTACCCATCTCTCTGTTCACCCACATTCTGGCCTTGTTCAGCTTTCCCGGATTGGCTTTCCTCCAGTGACATCTCTCATTGATAGAAGATAGAATTATCTTCATCTCTGAGAAGTTGTCACTGAGGGAAAGCAGGTCCTGCTTCATCGCTGTGACAAGCTCCACACCTTTGATGTTGCTAAGGTCGTTGCCGCCACAGTGGATGAGCAGGACATCCGGGAATGTTCTTCCTCTCAAGGACTAATAGAAAAAGGGAAGAAGGTTCCTCCACCTCAGACCACCCTTGCCAAACCACCACACACGGCAATTGAGACCCAGGTTGCTTCCCATGGTGTGTCTGGCTCTTTCTTCCCCACGTCTAACGTAGCTGCTCCCTATTATCCACACATTGGGACCTAGATAGAATAAAATATATTGAAAAAGGAAAAAGTGGTTACTGGTGATCATCTTTTAGAAAAAGGCGGTACATGTAGCCTGAGTTGTCATATCATTTTCATCATATTTTTAAGACTACACAAGTTTAATTTGTATATTATATTACATATAACTCTATACTTGTATATAGAATCATGATGAAACTTTATAAGGATTAAGATTATATATTAATATTACATTAAATAATGCATGACGATTTCATGCATTATTACGAAGCAGGATGTATCAAGTCACTGACTTTTTGTGATAAGGTCACAATCAACTGATTTCACTTATCAGATGTAAAAATAAGGTACAATATATTTGTTTTTGCCATATGAAAGTAAAGGGTATGCAATCAAAAAATTACTGAAACAAAATGAATAAAAATTCTTATAAAAACTATACAGCACCTTGTCCAAGTATGGCGGGAGGCCCACTTTCCTTCTGGATGTCGATCCGGCTATTTCTGCCATCTATAAATAAAGTACAAATGATTAGCTCTTCACGCCTCTTTAAAATAATATGTGTTCTTGAAGATTCTGTATGCATCGTCGTTTACAATGGTAGGGACATTGCATTGGAAATTAGTTGTGAAAAAGATATGTCATTTTTTGTTTTTTCATCTCACATTTATAGATTTTAAATATATATATATATATAAAACGAATTATAAATGCAAAGTCTGGTTTCTAGAAAGTTAGCTAATGCATACAGAGTTAACATTGCAGAACTGCTGGCATGCATACATTTCTAGCATTTTGGTTAACTATGAAAAGTATGGAAAATTACTGTGCAAACACCCAACATTAGTAGCGGTTGCTGATGAGTGGTTTGGCTTATTTACTCTTTTATATGAGAACATGTTACATTACATACAGCGACATTAGGCAGGTTAGAAAATAAATATGTTTTCGTATCTTACCTTTTGGAGCAAACTGTTGTCGGTTGTTAGCATAGACTGTATATATAAAGCGTTGTCTCTTTAGCCTCAGTGACGTGACAGTGAACACTGAACGTGACCGCGTGTGAAGGGGAAGGTGCTGAACACGTCACATCACATGAACGTGCCGGGCAGCGTGGTCCCGTGGGTTAGATGCGCGTTCATAATGCCGAGGGAAATAACTCAGAATAACGTTATTAGCACATTTTTAAAACTTGAGGAACGAATGTTTTTACTAAGGGCTATACAAGTCTTCATACTGGGTTGTTTATTTAGTTTTAAAAAAATTATCCAACGAGTTACAGACCACTCTTTCCCCATGTAAGTCAATGGGAAAAAGTGTTTCCAGGCCCAGCAACCAAACGGAAGTGTAGTACCGCCGTTTGGCCACTACGAATATTCTCATCAGACTCCGGCGCACTTCCTGGGGGCTTGCCCCCGACCCAAAAGAAAGGACGTATTATGGGCTTCCCCTCATGTTTTCCCCACGCTACTGGCTTTTTGAGACCTCCCCCGGCTGTGATCGGCTATTCTCGTCTACTTTCGAGGCGAGCTGCTGCTCGTCTCAAACAAGCCTATCGATTCTCCCTGTCCATCACGGGTGATCAACTGTAGTCTTCTCCTATTGGCCGGCGTCGACGGGGGCGGGTCCGAGGCAATTCCTGTCGTTTTTCTGTTGTTAATTACAGCATTCTAATGTATTTAAACATTCCCTATAACAGTATTGCGGCGTCAATAAATGAGTGTTAAAGACAGTGTGTTTAGTGTACAACACCACATGTCATTTCACCTTCAATTCACGTTTTCAAAACGTAACATTAGCCACATCCTAATGCTAACCGGAAATGAAGAATTTTCAGAATAAAAGTTTGAAGTTAAAAGTGTGTGTGAACTTCCAATTTTTCAGAATAAAACAGCTTTAATTATAAGAATATATTTAATCTAAATTACGCCATATAAACATTGATTTTAATTTCTTACACAGGACATCGAGTCCACAGTTTCCCTATAACAGGAAAAGGACCGGAGCTAAATTTCGTTCCTGGGTGCGTTGTGCGAGGTGCTTCCACCTCCCTGCAGCACATACTCTCCACAGCTGAGGCCTATCAAACAAAATGTTTATCAGGAAACCGTATTACATCTCTCGCCCCCATGGATGTATAATAAGAACTGGATACAGCGTGGGAGGCAGGGCCTCATGCATTCCTATGAGAGTTGCTCATTGGCGCATGAAGATAAAATGGCCCAACTTTTAAAAGTGCGAAACGTCACAGATTACCCGTCATGCCTGAGCAACACACTCCCACTCCATACTCGCCCAGGAGCGACGTTTGGTCAGGGTCCCGTGGCGTGCAGTTGTGACGCTCCTAGGCTCCTTCAGCTTCATAAAGGGACGCAAATAGCTTTCAACTGATTGCAATATATTCCCATCTGCGGCGGGATTTGACGCTCATGGAAGCATGGCATTCGTTTGTGTCGGCTGCCCTTAAAGGCAATGTGAGCGTCCATTCCCATTGGATAACGGAGAATTGTACACCCGGAAGTAAGTATTCCCCTTACTGTCGATTGATTTTACAGTGATATCTGCACTACTCATCGACTAAAAAACACCAGATTATCCTTGTTAATTACACAACATTGATTGGTTTAAATTGTGTGCAATGCTTTTGTATTTTTCTCCTTCGATTCGGAGAAACACATATTTTTTCGGAGTAAAGGATGGCAGAAAACACTACACTACCCAGAATCCCCAGCTATCGTTTAGGACTACACCATGTGCTCTGTTTGACAAACCCCGTGATTAGTTCTCAAGCTCTGTGATTGGTTGACCCCCAACTGCATTCCATTATGGAAAAAAAAACGTTTCGTAAAAGATAAAATCATACTTTATTCAGCAGTGCTTGCTTTACTCTTTGAAAGTCATCACACGAATGCATTGTGATAAATGGTTCGGCTGCATTAAATATATTACATGTTAGGGAAATAATTGTCCTAGACTCCTAGATATGAGGTACATGACCAACCCTGACGTCTGTTATCTCCTTTAAGGAGATAGGCTGCTTCAGCCATAATGTTATTGTTCCCATTCTGTGACCGGGCAACACTAGGTCACAGATGGTCTATTGTTGTGGGTGCACTGGGACACTTCCTTCTTTGTTGTTTGTGGACTCCAAGGTATGAAATCTTCGAGGCCATAAGTGACAGTGTGCCCAACTGTCTAAGCTATTTTATAAAAATATGTTGATTACTCTCTGTGAAACCAGTTAAATAGGCTAACGAGAGAGGGGCGCTCCAGAATTGACGTGGCAACCAACCCGTGCAGTCTCACCGTGACTGCTGTGACTTGTGATGTGAATCCTCCGGCCGAAACTCCAAATAAATCATCAGTGTTTGACATCAAAGCTCCTGCTCTACCGTGTCTCCTTCCTGAGTCGGTGACTCCCACTGCATTGCTACACAGAAGTTTCCCTTACATTACACATCTGTCGTAGTTCTTTATTTTTATTTATCTACAGAGATCGGGCTCAGAATAGACCGGAAACTATTATTTTACCGTTCAGTTTGAATTTCACAATAAAGTTAGTAGTAATATTTTCTTTTGATATTATTGTTTTTTATTAACTACTAGACCGCTGGGTCATGTTAAGACCATATTTTCTGTGTTGCTGTGGGTTTTTTACATCGCTTTTGTGTTACAAATATCAAAACAATAACTAAATATATCCGTCGTAAACTAAACCAGAAACAGCAGTATATTTTATTTTGTTAACACTGTAAACTTGACAGCTTTTTAACCCAAACCACCTACTGGTTAAAGCACGTTATTACACGTTTAGAGTAATGCAATGCAGGTAGATTGTGTTGCTTTTTAATGACTGTTTAAAATGCCTTTTTCTTAATGTCTTTTATTATTATTAACTTGTTGCTAGGGACGCTGCTATCGATATTATTTCTGTTATGTTGTGTAACTGTTTAATGGTGTTGTCTTTATTGCTACCCCCGTCAATGTGTTGGTCCACAGCGCAAACTTATTAGTTTAACAAAATCCGCATCTAAAATTGTGGCATAGATAGCCTACGTTATTTTCCCCTGTGCAATTCTCCATTTACTCAACTATAACACATAATTATCCTTGTGTTTATTTATTTGTTTGATTAATAAACACAAGTTGGAGTCCGTCAGGACCGAGGGTCGGAGCAGCTCATTTGCTTTAGAGAATATTATACCGGGAAGTAAGTATTCTCTCTGCTTCGCTTGACAAACCCCGTGATAGTCCTCAAGCTCTGTGATTGGAGAGTGTGCTCCGAGGGTTACGCCGAGCGTCGAACAGCACTTGAAATGGGATGGAACCACGGCAGACTGTCCAAAACTGGATTTGAACGGGTGCACCGCGTCCCCCCCTCCCCCACCCCGTCCCCAGAACTACACATGCTGGCTATTGTGTTTCGCAACATGTTCTCCATCTATGGCACGTCTCTACTGGGTGTTGTAGTTTTAAAAGACGTTTTCATATTTCCCATAATAAGAAGTTGCCAGTATTAAACTGTGTACATCCCTGGAGGTTTAGGGGATAGGAAACACTCAAATTTAAAACATATAATTAATAAATGGGTGAAAATTGCTTCTGCCCATAATGGGCAGCATTAATATGTATACCCACATGCCAGCTAAGGTCAGAAGAGCTTTAATTAACAGCTGGTCTTATGTTTGTGACCCCTCCTGTTGTTAATTGATAACATTACATTACATTAATTGATAAGCCTGAAACATGCACTTGTCAAGGTTCAGAGGCACATTTTGCAAATATGGCAGTAGCCATCGATCAGTTTTAAGATAAGATATACTTTATTGATCCCAAGTTGGAAACATTTGCGTTACATCAGCATGTGTAACAGTTGTAAATATGCAGTGATGTTTATTTGTAAATCATTTAGTATAATCACACAAATTCTGTGTTTTATATTTAACAATTCTGTGTTCTTTATTTATTGATTGTTCAATACCTGACAAGGCCGGAGATGAAATATCGACATACATCTTATAAGAGTATAATACATATGTATAATATCAGTTCAAATAAGTGCTTCAACATAGTTAACATTGCTGGAGGTATGCACAAATATTGATAGATGTCTTATAATGCACTATTGAGGAACCTGCGACCCAAGTTTTTCATTCAATGCATAACTACACCGTTTGTGAATATGATATGTCAATAAACCTTAGAAAATCTTGAAATCTTGAAAGGGATGTGCAAAATAGTCATTATATACAGTCTTTAATAATCTATTAGTAGAGAATAACGAGTAATGAATATACTTCATAGGGATCCTATTAATATCTAATAATAAAAATAATACATTTCAATAACATGCTTTAACCACTAGGTGTCCCTATATATCAGATGTGCACCTTTATGGTGTAAATACAGCCTATCTACCAATTGGATCAAATATAAAAGTCAGCCGAATTAGTGTTGATACTGCAAGGAGACGTATTGTGTGAAAAGAAATGTAAGATGTTGTTTAATTGCTGATATATGTATGATCCACGTCACGTTTTCAGTTCCTCATGTTTGTCTAGAAGTCTTCTCATCAGGGCTCTATAAATACAGAACTACGGCAGATATTTAATATTTAATGCAGCCGAACCGTGTATTAAAATGCCGTTATGTGATGACTTTCAAAGAGAAAAGCAAGCACACTCGGAATAAAGTATTATTATTTATTTTTTTTAAATGTTTTCGGTCTGTTTCCGGTATTTGTTAATGACGATGTGCTGTGAGATGTGAGACTGGAATTGCACAGGGGAAAATAACGTATCTTTAGATGCGGATTTTGTTAAACTAATACGTTTGCGCTATACATTGACGGGGAAGGGGGTAGCAATAAAGATAACACCATTAAACAGTTACACAACATAACAGAAATAATATCGATAGCAGCGTCCCTAGCAACCACCTTGGTAACAATGAAAACGTTCTATGGACGCAATTTCCTGAAGTAATCTTCGTAATCCACTGCACACATAATCTGAAATAACAACTCATATTTCTCGCATCAAATGACATCAACGCATTTTAATGGCCAAACTAACTTTAAAATAGGCATTTTCCACTGAGAATAAAACGAAGTTCGGCCATGTTTTTTTTTTCTGCAGGGAGAAATTTGAAGATCACGTGACATAGACGCCAGCCATTGGAATGAATGGTGAAAAAAACGGGGTTTGTCAAACAGAGCACA